CTGGATAATTAATAGCAGAGTTGAAAGGAAGAGCTTTATTTAAAGCTGATTGCCATAAAAACCAAGGTAATTTCCTTAAAAATTTGAAGGTGTTTCTTTTTAATTACTTTACAAAAAGGAGTTGTTCCCTTGCTTTCATTTAATGTGCTCTCCTTGCACAGAAGTATTAAATATCATCAGACTTAAGTAAGCACAATGACCTCCCTGCTGCCCACAAACTATCAAAATGGTTACACTTTTCTTAATCCTTGTTCTTTGCATTAGTCATCTCTATCTTTCAGTCTGGGTCTTGGTTTTTCCCCCTGTGCTGTGCTTTGTTCACCTTGGTACCACCAGGTTTTTGGGTGTCTTATGTGAGACAGATACTTCTTGTATAATCTTTGAATAAGACAACCTACCTTTCATCTGTTTTCCTCAACCATGGAAAAATAAAGGTCGACCAAACCCATTATATGATGTCCACAAACAATCTTTTATACAGTTTACAAGTGCTCTTGATGCTTAATTTATTTTGCCTTTTGTATTATATTGCCTTATATTCTTTGCACATATATTTGTAGCTCTGTAGTCTATCATAGTATTTGTAGCATTTTACCTAGTCTATTAGACATATAATATCAAAAAATAAATTCCTCAGTGGCTCCAACCTGGGAGTCCAAGGCTAAATTTTTGGGGATGCCAAGGTTGAAACTAGCTCTCTGAGACACATTTTCATAAACAAAGTGTAGTTCCTGTCTAAAGGAACTAGAATTCCTTTAGACAGGGGAATTTGAAGGTTGAACCGGGAGGAAATTGCCTTAACACTTAGGTCTCTAATTGGGGATTTTTGTCAGATATACTAATTTGCTAAAAACACAAGTTATGCTACATGTTATGCTATATGTGCATCTTCAATGTTTTCCACCTGGTGAATTGTGCACCTAAGGATTCTTATAAAGATTACCCCTTTCCATCACCTAACAGTGTTGGGCTCATGATTTTAGGATGAGTGGAAAGTCATCACTTTCACTGTTCAGATTCTTCTTACTTCCTTCCTGACTTACAACCATATTTTCTTAATTGAATTAGCTAAGACTTGCTTAAAATGGGATTTTACTTACTTGGTTACTGATTGTTTGCCCTTTGAGATGTGTTGGTTCCTCTGGGTATGTAAATACTGAAAGCTAATAATGTGCCAGTGGTTTTCTTGCAGTGCATGTGGGTTTTAATGATCCTTATCTCCTACATATATTAAAAATATAAACTGTGTTAAGTACATGGCACCCCTGTGGACCAAGTACTGATGATATAAAATTATTCTTATCACATAGATGAAGTCCATCTTGTTTTTAAATGAAGACTTGACAGAATTTATTAAATTATAAAATATTTATAGACTGCAGCTAGAAAACATGAAATTTCATCATTTGTTGTTATTAATATATTTAAAGGCTACATTTAACCTAGAACACTGTTCCACTTGTTGATGACATTTGTGTTGGTCAGTTTATGTGAGAAAACATATATCATCAGGTAAAGGTTTTAGTTGTGAAAAATGTTAATGGTGCCTGTGCATAAACCTAGGAGTAAAGTGGTAATTTTTTATATTTAAAAAAACCCAGTGTACTAGAATTTATTAAACTGTTCTTTTTGTAATTAATGCTTAGGATTTCATGTAGACCAATGTAAGCTATTTTTTTATTTTCAGCTCTGCATGAAATGATGCCAACTTTTTTGTTTAATTTAATTACGTTTCTTTTTACAATTTAATTTATATTTTGTGTCCATGAGAACTTTCAGTTTTGTGTGGAGCCACTGAATATTAAAGCCATTCTTACATAGCTTTAATAATTTGAAAAACGACATATATCAAAAAAAGTGAAGACTGAGTTTCAACTCCTGAAATTTGAGTTGTCCACTTTGAGTTATAATAATTGGTTGTAAGATTATTAAGCTAGTTAATTAAATACGTATTTTTATACTAATTTTTTATTCTCTACATAAAAACTTGTTTTAATTGTTTTGAGCTTGTGTTGTTCAGAGGTGAATATTGTTACCTGCCAAGTAGCTTTTCTTTTGGCTGAAAAAGTAGTGGAAGTAATAGGATATTCTAGAGGACTAGACCTTTAGTTTGCTTTTTGTTTGTGAACAGTTGTTTACTGTAGTTTAGATGTAGATATTTTTGAAAACAAAATGTGGGAGAGTGAGATTTATTCCACATTTATGCAATTGTTTTGTGATAGTGATGTTTTTGAGACAGTAGTCCGTGTTATAGAATGAGCCTTACTAAAGAGACAGACAGAAACTTGCTAGTCATTTTAATATATGTTATTGAAATGATGTTTTTGACCATCCTGGAAGTTTATTGGATCAATAATAAAAGTAATGAAAAATAATGAAAAGCATGCTTAAATCGACTTAGGGAAATTAAAAGTGCATGTCTAGTATAAGTTACTGCTTCTATATGTCTCACAGTTTGTGTAATAAGCAACAATAGGTATAGCTTTACCTAAATGAATGTATAGAGCTTTGGACCCACAATCTAATAATTGAAATAAGGGAATGTTAAAACTTGCAAGGAATGTTTACCTTTATTTTGCAGCCTACATAATGAGGAATGTGAGTTACTACAGAAGAGCAAAGAATTGGAATTGGATGCTGTTTTAGGTATGAAATGGAAACTTCTTCAAGCTAAAAAAGAAAACTTGGACTTAACTATTCAACACAATCAAGAAGTAAGGACTTCTTTTTCATTTGCCATATTTTACTCCTGGATTAAATGTCATCTTGTTTAATTGAAGTATTATTCTCAGATGGTGGATCAAAAGCATAGTCCGTAAATGGAAAATATGAAGAAAGGTGTCGCTGTACAAACCTCTCATACCTGTTCCTAGATACTGTTAGCACCTCTGCTGTCATTGTTAACAGTTAAAGGTGTGGTAAGTTACTCAACAGCAAAATGCAGAAGAACCTTTTGCACCCTGAGCTCAATGTAAGAGATTGTTTGTTTGTTTGTTTGTTTGTTTGTTTGTTTGAATCCAGATAGTTCCATAGATCCATTTTTTGCAATGACACCACAGTTGATAAGCCAACAGGAAAATAACAATGTAACTGAAGCACAAAAACAAGTCATTTTGGGAGAAGCAGGCATCTCTCAATTTGGGTACATACCCAGATAATAAATGTACATGGAACAACAAACTTGTTCTATTGGCTGTATTTAGCCAAAACCAGATGAATGAGCGTCCACATCAACTTCTCCTGGGAGATTGCTTAGAGCAGAATTGCTGTAAAAATACTTCTTCAGCAGCATAGTTTAAACAGATTATCAACTGCCAGTTTGGCATTAGCAAATGTGGGAAGTGTGCCTAGGAGCAATATACTGAAACTGACTACAACTCAGCACCCACCATTTTCTGTGTTTGTTAGTGGGGGAACTGATATTCAGACTAAATAAAAAATTAATTGAGTATATTTTTAATGCTACTTCATTTCAGTACTAGTTTGCTACAACAACATCAAGGAAATCCTTTGTAATGTGAGTGATTTCCCATGTATGAAATTCTCATTGACAAGAATATTGCTACTTTGTAGATGTTCTGAAGGAATATCTATTTTACTTTCCATCTTCTTATGTTGAAATATCTTGGTTTTCTGAATCCAGTTTTTGGCAGCAAAGATTGTTTCTCAGCCTGTATAAGATCCCTTTTGGACGTGTTTTCTATTCTTAGTTTGTTGTGTGTTAGCATTAAAGACATCTGTTTCACTACTGACCATTATTGGACTGAATTTTATGCTTGTATGTATATTTGTGAGTTACTAGATGTCTGATAGTCTAGTATCCCAATATGATTGTTCTGAATGTTGCCAGAAAGTTGTCTGGAATATAATGTTTCTCTTATGGCATTTTTTTCCTCTAAGGTACAGGAAGATGACAATAGTGTATGATTAATTTTTTTAAGGTAGTATATTTTTTGAAAAATGGAGGGGTATATTTAAGGTACATGAAATTCATCTAGGAAAAAGATCAGTTTGGAAAAACCAGTGAAGTATCAAAAGTTGCAAGATTATATTTCAAATTCAAGTGGAATAAGATGGCAGTTATGAATGTGATTCCAAGTACCTTTTAAAAATATTCTGTAGCTGTATTTCTGCAACATGTTGTACTTCTTCAAGTGAACGTTGTTAGTAGTTTTGTGAAATTTATTTTCTAGGTCTCCAACTATGAGAAACAGATAATCAAACTACGGTCAGAATTTGAGAAAGGAGAGGCCATTCGACAAGGTCTGGAGTATGAATTGGCAGTTGCCAGAAAAAGTGCCCATCTGAAAATGTGTACTGCAGAAGAAGAATTGAGTGATGCAAAAAACAAACTTATGGAACTGCAAGGTAGGTTTCAAAGAAGTAAAGATGAAATAAAGGCTAAGTCTGTTTCATGTCTTTAAGGTAAGTCAGAAGCAGGGACTTAATTAGATTTTCTAGTTTACTGCTGTTTTTCTGAATCTGTCTTATCTTCCCATCTCTTATCCATCTGCTTTTGAAAACTCGTAAGAGTTCAGAAAGCTCTTACTGTCTAATGTGTGGATTAGAACTAACTGGCTAACCCTTCCAACCCTTCTTTCCTCTTGTCCATCACTTTCTGTTACTTCTTCCTTCAGGGCTGTCTGTGTACAGAACTGTAATCATGATGGCCATCTTCACATCCGGGTTATCCCTGTATTCATTAGTTTTTCCTTTTCCATTTCAGAGGAAAAAAAAAAAAAAAGTTTTTCCTTTTCCATTTCAGAGGAAAAAAAAAAAAAAAAAGGAAGAAAAAAGAATAGAAAAAATTAGTTCCTGCTCATTTTTTTGCACTTTTTCTAGCAGCTTCCAGAAGTATATGTATATTTTCTTTCATCTTTTCTAATGTTTCAAGCTTTTAATTGTTCATGTCTCTTTTATTTTCTTCTCATTGTTTTTGTTTCTTTTTTTTATAGTTATGTGTGTTGTGACAGTAGTATGTAGAAGGGAAAGTTTTTATGTAGACTTATTTCCTACTACTTTTGTATTCAGAAACTCAGATTTCCTTTATACTCCTCAAACAGAGAGATTTCATTCTTGTGAATGAAATGAGGAAATTAGGTGCATTTTTAGTTACCTAAACTACTATATCTATTTAATCTAGTACAGGAGATGTATTTGTGAGTTTGATGAGCTGTTGATATTCAATGAAGAATTTGGAGTACTTCTCGAAGATTTTAACCTTTCAAGAACTGAAACAGAGTCTGGATGTTGCAAGTAGTTAAAGTAACAAGTATTTTTAAGATGTTGGGAAAGCTGAACTTTCAGTCCTTTGGAGAACACATGACTAAATAAAAATCTTAGGGATTGCAAACACATGAAACATGGTGAATCTTATGGATTGCAATCTGGAAGAAGGCATTTTTTTACCTTCTGGAAATTTCTCAGTGATTACAAATTGAAGATTTGAATTGCTAGTTTCTCACCTAGAGCAAAGTCATGTTTCTTTCCATGTTTGCTGGTTTCCTTGCAAGTATAAGACTCATGCCATCCAGGTACCAAGAGGCAGTACTGATGCTGCTGGAACCACAGCACAGTGGACCTAGTCTGCTGGGCTTCCTGTCACTTTTCTGAATGGACTGGGCTAACATGTGATGAAGGGCCTGGAGAACAAAAAGGGGTAAGAGAGGCTTTACAGAGGCAAGGGATATCTTCTTAAGTGCATGTGTGTTAGTTTCTTTTAATACCATAGTTGATAATTTGTAGTCTGTCAATTGATGACAAATTCCATGGCTGAAATTTCTCAAACTTCTTATGTCTGTGACAAGTGCCAAAGAAACCAAATTACAATTTTGCTGCTTAATTTTCTAGCAATTAGTAATTTTCTGCTTCTTTTCCTTTGCCAGTTGGAGCCTTTCTCACATCACATGGTGCTTTGGTATGACCCCAGTATTTCTCCTCATATAGAATGCTTTATTTGTGCCTTGTATCCTTCAGTGTTTTCTCCAGATTTTCTGTTGATTTTCTGCACCTGACAGTCCTTTCCTATCATTGTGTCCACTGATTCTTTGTGTCATCATAATGTGCTCTCTTAATTTCATTATTTTCTGATTAAGAAGAAATGTCAGAAAACTGGGATAGAATTTGAAATAAAATCCTGTTGCAAAGTGATTACTTAAATGCCAATGCAGCTAGTTGTATTCAGTAAAATGAAAAGCTGTTGTAAAATATTTTCTTGTATAAAGCTGCTTATGGGTTATGAAGGTTTCCATGGCATTTAAGTTTTCACAGAAGTGTGTATACAATGTTCCCCATCTCAGGTCATTTATGGCTGAAGATTTAAATGTCTTGAGGAGTAATTAAGTTTCCTTGGAAAAACTAAATCTTCGCCTAGTAACTCAACCTGCCTTTGGTTTCTCTACAGTCTCTTTCATGGAACAGGTGCCTATCTTTACTGTCATTTAAACTGAGCTCAGATTTAATTGATGCAGACTATTACCTATATCAAAAATGACATTTGGAAATAATCTGGCAAAATGTAGAAACTTTAAATTAAGTCTTCTATTCTATAAAGATGTCATTTCACAGAATCACAGAATATGCTGATTCAGAAGGGACCCACAAATAATCATCTCAGGTTTTTATCCTTTTCCAAGAGAAAAAAGTGTTTTAATTGTTAAAATCTCTCAAATATTTGTGTGTTCTTGTGGGAAAGATGTAATAGGAAGACAAAATTTGCTGGATGGTGCTCTCCAGTGCTGGAGAGATAATGTTGCAGTGTTCCACAGGGTATCTGTCGTGGTTTGACACGGGAAAAGAATTTTCTCAGAAGGAAGAGGTCAATCCATTCAGGGGTCAGGTTTGGATACTGACACTTGGGGTGACCAATTGAAGGTGGACACGCCTCTGAGAACACAGAGGGGTTAAAAGCAGAATTCCCAGGAGAACTCGCTCTCTTTGGTTCCGGTCATCAGAGGGTGCAGACCTCCCCTGCCCAGCCACGAGCTGGGTGTGGGAGGGGAAGCCATGCAGCCTGCAGAGATAGGCCAGGGGATGAAGGGTCTGGAGCCGAGCTGGGCCAGCTCCTGCAGACGGAAGGGTGGAGAACATCTGAGATGTCTTTGTTCCCCTCCCCCAACCTAGAGGGAAAGAGACAGAGAGCCTGTAGACACCTGGATATTTGCCAGCAGAAGAGAAGGAGAAGGGAGGGAAGATTCCCAGTGTGGGAGACAGGAGATGGAGTCCTGGGCCGAGATTTCAGCCGTCCGGGGAGTCCGGGAATTTTAATCCTTTCCTGGGAAATTAAGGCTATGTGAAATATTACTCCTCCTCAATTTGAAGGAAAGAGATAGACAGCCTGGGACCTCAGCTGTTAGGGAAAGAAGGTTGGGGGGAGATAATGGAGTGGCTTTTGGCTGGACTCTTCTTGTTAGCCATAGACTGAACCAGTCCTTCCTCCAAGAGAGACTGCATTTTAGGGGGATGCAATGGTGAGCCAAGAGACTCCTTCAGCAACTACCAGTTGAACAGAGAAAAGCTGTGGAGGGTGTGATGATGCCCTCCATCTTCATAGAAGAAGAGAAGACGATCTCTGTTCTTGGACCCTCGGCCCCTGGGGAAAATGGGGGGGACTGTAGTCCCAAAATGAGACACTGGACTGTTGTTCCTGTTGGTCCTTGGCAAAGCATCCTTAAAGGAACCCTATAAGCAGTCTCTGTCCATGCACGGTGGTGAGAGCACTGTGACATGGAGAGGAGAGTGTCACACTGGCTGGTGTGTCTGGGCAGTGCCATGTGTGACATGGAAACACAAGAGGTGGCAGCTGTGTTTCCTGGGGGGTCTATGGTGCAAGAGAGACTCCTCTCTCCCCTGATGGACTCAGTATTGATTATGTGGAAGGGTGAAGACTGGATTAAGGGTCCAAATGTGTCTCACTGTGGTTGGTTGGAGTTGGGTGGTGGGAGGAGGAATGTTTTGAAAGGTTTTCATTTCGAATTTTGTGGTTTTTTTTTTTTCCTTTCTTTTTTTCTTTTACAGTAATAGTGGTAGCTTAATAAAGTTTTTTTTCCCTTTGTTATTAAGCTTAGGCCTGCTTTGCTCTGTTTTCAATCACATTTCACAGCATTCAATTGATAGGTTGCATTTTCATGGGGGTGCTGGCATTGTGCCAGTGTCAAACCATGACAGTATGAAAATACACAGAAGTACTGATGATCATTATGTGTTTGGGTTTTTTTTCTGGATATGTTATGCCATACTGCTTCTACCTTTTTTCTTTCTCTTTTTCTGTAAACAATAGTACTCAATGAAAACCTTCAACAGAAAGTGACAGAGACTGAGAAAATGTTTCATAATGCTAAAGAGAAGTGGAAAGAAGAACAGCAAAGACTCACAAAGGTGAAGGATGATATCAGCAGAATTTATAACAATGTATATGTATACCTTCTTAAAGAAAGAAACAAAGTAGAAACTGTTTTACTGGTATGGTGTATTAATAATTGCATGAGATAATGGCTGGAACTTTTTTGGTGTGAAGCATGTAGTGGATTCTGGTGTAGGAAAAAATTCCCCAAGTAGCTAAATGCTGCAGAGTATTTCTGAAGAATGTTGCCTTTCTAAGTTACATTTGGCATGTGACAGTCTTTCTTACTTTGATGAAATGTGTTATGGCCGATGTTGATAGTGAATGCCCAAATCAAGTTACCGATGCACAGTCCATTTGCACTGTTATGCAGTACTGAGTCAGTAAAATTGGGACACCTAACACCCACTGATTCAATTTCCCTGTTACTTCCCCTCAGTATGGCATCCAGTAGCCTGTGAATATGAAAACAGTTTGTATAATATGAAGACAACATACTTTCAGGGAACCTGAATGGTGATGATGGGATTTCGAGCTGTGTATTGTATGTTACTCACTTCATACCACATAAGAAAAGTAATAGTTGTTGGTAATTCTGCCATTTGGTTAGATAAAAATCACCTAATGCTTAGAAATGGCATTATAATCTGTTCCAGATTGTGGGGTTTTGTTATTTAGTAATTAATTTCCTCATATTTCCTGATTTATACTGATATTTATGTATCCTTTGGGTGTTAAATGTATAAAAAGTAATAAAAGTACAAACTTGTTTTTGCACCTTTTTTAGACAGTCAAGCTATTCAAAACTGAAATATATTTAGAAGAAATCATGTACCATTATGGTGTGGAAGTGCTGAGTGAACATACCTAACTTTTGCATGCTCCACAGGGACACAAGCAATTACACCACTGTACTTCAATTATACTTTTGTCTTTTTAAATGACAAGTTACATATGTTGTGTCTTACCTATGTAAGAATACTATTTGATGAAAAAACAGAATGTATTCAGCTGTAGTTATTCTTCATAAAAAGAAATGTATGCAGAGGCTTTGTTAAGGCCGATAGACATTTGAATTGCATGGTGGGTGCAGAGAGCAGATTGCTGCTAAAAGATTAACTTTTTAATATATTTTCTTCCTTTGTAGTCTCTTCTAAGATGTGACAGACTTGTCTCAGTTTGGATGGTCATTGGTCAAGCAGTGGAAAATTTTCTGGTTACTTTCTTCCTAACTGGTCAGCTCCAAGCCTTGGACAGTACCAGTCTTCCCAAATGACACTAAATTTACCTGGTAGCTTGATAGCCAAATTCTGACAGCAAACCTACCTGTTGTACTGGGTTATGGTGCTGTTGCTCAGATTCTATATGGCACCTGTAGAAGCAGCTTGCAAAGCAAAACAGGGCAGAGACACTCCCTTAATTACATATATTTCAAAAGCACTGACTCTTCAGCTTTTTGAAGTCAAGATCTGGAAGGAGTGGTGCAGTTATGACAGCTGTAGTAGAAATCAGGTAGTGTATGGATAAATAGTGTTTCTGTGCATGAACTGCAAAAGGAGTTGCATTGTGCTGTTTATCTTAATGATGAAGAGACCTGATGGTGGAAAAGGGTCCCACTGATTTGAATTTTCTCTGAATAAAGAATAAAAAGGAAATTCCCTTGTCCCCAGAATAATTTTGAGGATATGTTGAACAGTACTTTGAGAGACTAATTGGGAGAACTGTAAAGGTGTAGTTAAAAAAAAAAAGATGGTTTTAGAGGAGAATATGTGAATTCATTGAGAGATGATACCTTAAGGTCTTTCTCAAACCAACAGAAACATGAGTCATTTTTCATTCAAAGTCAATGCTTGAAAAACTAAGGTTAGGTTTAGGCTATGAGGAAATTTACTCTTAGTCACATCTTTCTTATTAAGTTACTGGGTAACACAGGCTAAGAGTGGTGCTTTGGCTCTGTGTTCTGGCTAACAGTAGACTGACTTAATTTGAGGAGGATTTGGAATGAACTTGTCATGTCTTGTATATAGAGTTTAGAAGTGTTTATTCAGTGCATTTAATACTGTATAAAAATAATGATGTTTTAAGAAGTATACTATACTCTTAGAAGTGATTGTAGTCAGATGAAAAGGAACAGTGTATTGCTCAGGTCATTGTGTTCTCTGTCAATGTATGTTGACTTGGAAGTGGAAGGTGATTTATAGAAGCAGGAGTTTGGTTGGAAAAGTGCACTAAAGGTATATAATTGCTTACTCCTAAAGTGTGTGATTCACTACTAGACGTCAACTACCAATGTGCTTTGAATAGCAAAATTTTTGGATTTAGTTCAATTGCAAATAGTTCAGTTTTTCTGCTTTTTTTTTGTGGTGTTCCCTTGCCCATTACCCTAGTTATAGTTACATATAGTTATAAAATTCTGGGAAATAAAAAATACATGCATGAATGTTAAATCTGGACTTGACTATCTTAGTTGTTGTTTGAAAGTTAAACTGATTTAATTTGGCAGATAAATATCAGAGGTTTGTAGGTTTGTAAACTAAAGCTTCAAATGTGTTCCAGTCTTCAGTGTTATGTATTTACAGTCATGTTTTAAATAATTCATAGTTATTATGAGTTATGAGAGGAAAGCTTCATAAAGTGGTCTTAATATGTACGTAGAAGCGAGATCCTTAACATGAATGGCAAATCCTGGTTCTAAACCTGCACTTTGTGAACTACAAGTCTGAACTTAGCTGTGGAAATGCTGAGGTAGGCATAGAAATGAAGTTAATTTAATCTACTAAAATGTGTCTCTCTGATATGGAGTTAAAGTAATCCTCTCTGTTTTTTAACAGAGAAAGTTTTGTGTTGTGCTATATTGAGTGTGCTTATCATTGTGTTTGGTATATGGTAAAAGATGTTTGAGTTCAATAGTAAATGCAATAGCATCATCTTGTGGTGAGTCAGAATATAGTATTCCTTCACAGAAGCACTCAGTTTTTCCTTGGACTATTTGTGAAACTGTGCTGTTTATGCACACTCTAAACCAATCGACCAGCCATGTTTTTGATAAGTAAATATGTATAGTGAGTGTATGTGACATGCAGGTACACATGTATATATGTAATGGTGTTTCTTTTTTAGCATGGTGAAATATGTTTCTTTCTGAACCTTCTAAATGCAGGTAACTGCTGGAAAAGTCTGACACAGTTTTACCATGTCTGGAAAGTTCAGAGACTTCAAGATTCTGAAGTCATGTTGATTTGTTTAACAAGCTTGATGTATTATTCATGTCAGTTTTTTGAAGTCTTGATGTAGTATTTTACCAGGAAGCTATGTATTACTTATTTCATATGCACTTTTCACAGCTCACTTCTGTTAAAATGTGGAAGATAAATCTGAAGCAAAATATTTATATATCTTTCCAATATAGAAAAGATGAGAGTAGTTTTAAATTTGAGTAAAAGTAACTTTTTTTTGCATGCTGATGGGAAGAAACCTCTTAATTATTTTGGTATTACAGGCAAAGTTAGATTACCTTAAATTTAATCCATATCCAAATAGACTGTTTTTGAAATATTTTGATTTACTGAGGTTCCTGTTTTTTAATTCACTTGTTTCATAAGCATGTTCCTTGTTACCTTTTCAGTGAATGCCAAAAAATCATGCCATAGTGCCTCCACATGAAAAAAGAGAAAATGAATTAATTTTTCAGTTACTAGCTGGAGTGTCACTAGTTGTTAATAGATGTTGTCATGAATCCCTTAGTGTCATGTTTAAGAGGCCAAAACTTTCTACCTTCAGTCATGAAGAACTTCTAAAATTTGTTTTAGACTTTGGAAAATACTGATATTTCTTTGATCTTCATGTATAAGCATGGTTCTGGCAAATTTCAATCTTCCAAAGAATCGTTCTTCATGAATAAATAATTTTCTTTTCCTTCTCCTCCCTGCTCTGCAGATGCCTTATGATTAGTAATTTTAAGGGACAAGATTATGTGATGTAAGAGTAATAGCAGAATTTGTAGACCAGTTGGTTTATTTTCACAAAATGTCTCTTTGTCTCTTGCTATGATAAACTATAGGAATAAATGAACAGGAGGACTTATGATAATCTTTCTGTGTTTTGTGCGGAAAGTAATTGGCTTTCAAAAGGTCTTCCAGCTAAGTCACTGGATTTGTAACTTGTTTCTGATGCTAGTTATGGAAAAGCTTACTCCTGTCCACCAGACCAAAGCTATTCTTTTTTAAGGCTTCTGGAATCCCCAGCTTAAATATGCGATAGGCTACTGGGGGCTCATTATTTGGCTACTTTCCTCTGTGTCTGGTGTGGCTTGAATGAGGATTTTGTAGTAGTGACTCCACAGAGTGTGGAATTAGTAATAGTGTTAGTAATTACACCATCCTGTATCTTGGTTCAACTTCCAAAGGCAGAAATTGTGGAGAGGAGCAGCTTAGTTATTTTATCTTTCCAAGAAATTCATAGTTCATGTAGTTAATTTTATAATTCTGTTTCTAAGAAAAGTCCTCAGAATAGTAGAAATTAAGAATATTTATTCTGTGGGAGTAACTTTCAACAAATGTCTGATGATTTGAAGTTCTAACAGAATAATGACAAAGAGAAACTTCAGTCATTTCATCAAACTGTTTACCTCTCCACCATTGCCATTGAGCTGCAAGAGAGAGCAGATTGGAACAGCAGCCTTGTACTTCTTTAGAGAAAAATTTCCTGTGGAGAATTGGCTCTCATTTTTGTATAACTGCAGAAGGTCATGTTTGTAGTGAGTTGTGAGCCAACATATGTTATCTGGCGGTGAATGAAGAACGTCTGTTGTTGGGTAAATGCGTGACATGTGCTGATGTGTTAGATTTTATTAACCTGTTTTGATGCAGTCTTTCCTGTTTTGGTCTTTTTACTTTATTTTAGCAAAAGTAACTCTTAATGCCTTATTTCTTTTTTAGGAGCTGAATAATGAACTGCAAAATATACGCAAGAAATTGAGAGATATGGAAGTGGAGCACAGTGGCTGTAATGAGGTGCTGAAATGCCAGGCCAATGAACTTAAATGCAGTACTGAACGAGAGAAGAGACTTTTAAAGGAACTTGAAGTAAGGCTTTTTGACTATTGCTATTAGTCTCAACAAGCACTGACACTAAGCAATTTCATTTTTGAGGGATGGAACCTTCCAGTTAGGCTGGAATTCTGTGTACTTGATGAACAAAATATTGAACATCTGTTTTGCAGTAACGGCTGAAAAGGTGAATGCCACTTTTATTGTGAATTTGGCTTGAGACTTGTGTTTAAACATCAGATAGGAAAAGGTTTATATAAGTGTGAAAACAAGGCTAACTTTACTTCAGGAAATCTAAAATCTTAATTTGTCTATCTTCTTGTATTTTTGGTTTAATGGATTTCTGGTGGAGAATCTGCTGGAGCTGCAGAAATTGCCAGATGATGTGCTAGGTGAGGGAGTAGAATATTGAAAGATCACAATGGTCTTACAACAGCCTCCTCCTAGAGTTAGTTACTAGAGTTAGTTACTGCATCTTTAGTTCTCCTCTCTGTTGAGTTGGCATCCATGTTTCAGAAGTCTCTTGTATTTGAGAATAATATCTTGTAAATAGGCTCTTTACACTAACCAGCTAGTTTCCTAATAAGTTTCAATATTTTATTTGTCAACTAATAGGTTTTGTAGTAGTTATATTATATGTTCGTACAGTCTGGACCAAGACTTTCTTGGTAGAACATTTGTCGTTGCAGAAAATCATATTGACAATTCTTTATCCTGATGTATGTTTTCTACCAAAGGCATCATTAAATATTTTCTGCACTGAATTTAACAGAGCTGTCACTTCTTAAATATTAAACCTTAAAGAAACAAGTTACATAGTTTTCAGTTGTGTTTTTTTCCTGTTGTTTTTCTCTTAAAGGCAAAACAAATGTTTTAAGTGTTGATTTTTAGGTAGGTAGAGTCCTGCATTAAAGATGAAGCACAAAAGAAAATTCCTACAGGGAAGATCAAAGCTCATCAACTAAAAACACTGACTTATTGACCAACAAAGTAGACCTTTGTGCCCCCAAAGAATTCTACAGGAAATCTATTGTCATGTATTTTGAGCTGCACTTATTGGCCTAAGTGGAATTGCTTTCAGTTGGAATGTGTTGCATACTGTGAAGTTCCAATAGCCCTTTTAAAAAGCACCAAGTTTTTCGTCCCTGTACTTGAATAAAAACTCTTCTTTTGACCTCATGGCTTTTTGTATACTAATGGAGAAGTCATGAGCTTAAAGGAGGAGGAGAAATGCAGCAATTTTATTTTAAATACTTTGATTGCATATACCCACCAGCTGTAAATTTGAAAAGAAAGGTTGCAGTTCCTTGAAAATCTGCAATTGCTATACTCTATGATGGTGTGATTAGGGAAATGCTGCCTACTAACCATAATAGAAAAAATATCTTTTTTGCTTCTAAATTCTTGTTAAACTATTTTAATTTTCTGAATATCTTAGTAATGTAAGAAAATATATTCATTCTGCAGAAAAATAAGTCTTGTGTTACTTATTGATAAGGATAGCTATTTAAGCAGTGATTAAGGAAAAGTATGCGATGAAACCTCTTGCATATGAAAGTTAAAGAAAATTAGTACAAGTCTTTGAATCAAAAAAAACCAAACTAGGTTAGATGTCAGTACATATCCTGTCGGCAGCTTGCATCTCTACCATCTAAGAAGTAAATTGTGTATGTGTAATTATCTGACAGGACCTACAGTAACCTTGTAGATGGTGATTCTACTGGGCAGCCTCCTCCTATGCTTTGCAACTACCTTGCCATGAGGAATTTTTTCCTCGTATCTCATCTAAACTTCCACTGGTACAAGTTGAGGCCATTTCCTTTCATTCTGTCACTAGTTACCTGTGAAAAGAGACTGACTCCCACCTGGCTGCAGCCTCCTTTCAGACAGTTGTAGAGAGTGATAAGGTCACCCCTGAGACTCCTCCTCTCCAGGCTAAACAACCCCAGCTCTCTCAGTCACTCCTCACAGGACTTGTGCTCCAGACTGTTCACCAATTTTGTTGCCCTGCTTTGCACACACTGCAGCACCTCAATGTCCTTGAATTAAGAGCCCCAGAACTGAACACAGGATTGGAGGTTTAGTCTCACCAGTGCCGGGTACAGAAGGGAGTAATCACTGCCCTGGTCCTGCTGGCCACACTATTGCTGGTACAGGCCAGGATGCCATCGGCCTTCTTGGCCTTCCTGGGCACAGCTGGCTCGTGTTCAGCTGCTGTCACCAGCACCCTCAGGTCCTTTTCTGCTGGGCACCTTTCAGTCACTCTGGCTCCAGCCTGTGGCACTGCCTGGAGTTGTTGTGGCCAAAAAGCAGAACTCAGTAGCTGGCCTTGTTGAATGGCATGGTGCTGGTCTTGTCCCATCTCTCCAGCCATTCCAGCTCCCTCTGCAGGGCCTTCCCACCCTACAGAGATCAATACTCCAACCCAACTTTGTGTCATCTGCAAATGCAAATGCATTCAATCCCCTCATGCAGATCACCCCAGTGCTGAGCCCTGGGGAACCTCATTGGGGCCAGCTGGATGTACCTTCATTCCCACCACTCTCTGGGCCTGGCCATCCAGCTTGTTCTTTACCTAGCAAACAGTGTACCTGTTCGCACCATAAGCAACAAGGTTCTCCAGAAGTATGCTGTGGGAAATGGTGTCAAAGCCCCTTTATTAAAGACTAGATGTATAACATCTACAACTTCCTTCATCCACTAGGTGCATCATGATATCAATAGCCAAGCTGAATTTCTATTCAGATATAGAAGTCTTGAAGTAGTACACCGCAGACAGAATGGTCTACATTTTTTCATTAAGTAGATCTGTATTTTTTTATCTCTCTTCATATAATTTTTAGCTTACAGATTGAAGTTGGTAGATATAGGATACATATCTTCAATTTCCATGCTGAGTACCTCATGTTAATGATCATTTGGTTAGCAAATGGGTACTTAAGTTCTTGATGATGAGAAGAAATTTCTTAAGGTGCTTGTGTGAGGAGTAGTGTACCTCTACTTAAACCCCAGTCTTAAAATATTTTATTGTATGCTACTTTCTGAAAAGCAGTGGAGATTAACGTTTTCTGGAGTTCACAAATTGTTCTTTTGCTACCCTCTGCTGGACATGACAGAGAAATCCATGGGAAAATACTTGGGTTTTGATAAAGGAAGAATATGTTAAATTTAATTTTTTTTTTTCTTTTAGTACAATGACACTTGTATAAGGAATTATATCCAACAGATTGTTATAAAAAAAGGAATTTTCAAAAAAACCTGCCTGCTGCCCATTTTGGTTTTTTTTTTTTTCCCGTTCTTATTTTTCTTCAAATATTAGTCTGGTTTTATCCTTCAGCGATTACTCTGATCATGGTCAAAAAGAGGAAATTCCTAGTTTCCAGAGTTAGAAATTAGGAGAAAGAATAATTACAAGTTTCTGTGGACTTTTTAGTTGAAAAATAGCTGCACTGTCTGACCTATTAGCTTTCCAGTTTGCAGTGATGCCAATATGTTGCATAGATTTGGAGTGCTAATGAAGTAGAAAACACACTGTGCCAGAAAAATTGAGATTGAGAACTAGATGATCAGATATCATTCTACCTCTTTGGCCTGAGGTAGCCAAATAAATTATTGATCTGTTGCTATTCAACTCATCACGATAATACTATTTATGATAATCAATTTTCCAGAACCAGTGTCTTTTATTTTAACTTTTAGCTCAATTGCTAATGAGGATTCTTGGTAAATACTTGAAAAAGACAAGACAAGAAAACTTGTCATATAAAAATAATGTTTCTTATGGTGTATTTAGCCAAAAAGATGGGTGGGAAACTGCTTTTGCAATGAAAATGTAGACTTTACCACAGGAAACAAAATTATTATTTTACACATTTCAAACTGTTTGCCTTATTCCTATAAATGTAATGATTTTCTGTTATTTTTTAATGTTTTTGAGGCTGCCAACTCTTAGTAAGCTGAAGCTCAAAGTCTCTCATTTTTTTAAGTCTTTCTTATAAGGCTTGAAAAATAACTTCCATAACTTGGTCTATTTAATTTCTGGGTCTGAGTACATTGTCATATTTCTGAGATTTCCAGTTTCCATTTAGACTAATCCCTTAGCTTTCACATTGCCTTTTCTACTTCTCGTGCCTCCACTATGTCTATTGACATGTGGTGCTAAACATGTATGCTTGTATTAGCTTGGGAATGCTGCTATGATGCAAAGAGGGCTTGAGGAATGGTTAATATCTGTATGTGTTTGAAGTATATGTATGTGCAATACTTGAAGGCTGTAGGCTTATTTCTCACTCTCTCTGTGTTAGTGAAACATGAAATTTAGGTCACAAATAAAATCAGCTTACCCCTATTTAATCTTCTGCTTTCTAGAGTGTCCACAGTGTCATCCAAGATTTTTCGATGCTGTGACTGTCATATATTAGTTACTACGTGCTTAGTATGTAGTATACTTATGTATACTTATATATATGGGTATATATCCAAAGAGATATACTTTCTCTAGATAAAAATGTATAGTACCATATACTATATACTATACTTAGAGGTTTCTAAGCATTGCAGGTTTTGTAATGGGAACTTTCTGGTGGCTCCAAAGTTATATTTTTTGAGTGAGAAGCTCACTGACATAATGATTTCTGCAAAGCATTTGACAGTGTTGCATACAACATCCTTGTTTCTAAAATGGTGAGACATGAATTTGATGACTGCAACACTTGGTACATAAGGAGTTGGCTGAATGGTTGCCCTCAAAGGGTTATGGTCAATGGCTTGATGTCCAAGTGGAGAGCAGTGGTCAACCAGGAGTTGGAACCAGTGATTTTTAACATCTTTGTTGGTGGCATGGACAGTGGGATCAAGTGCACTCACAGCAAGTTTGCTGACAAGATTGAGTTTTGTGGGGCAGTTGACACACTGGAAGGCAGGGATGCCATTCAGGGGGACTTTGACAGGCTTGAGAAGTGGGTCTATGCAAACCTCTTGAAGTTCAGCAAGGCCAGCTACAGGGTCTTGCACCTGCCCCAGGGAAATCCCAAGTA